GTTTGAAGCATCTGATACACGTATGCTTTGATATTCTTGTAGGGTCAAGCTATGTTTACAGGGACAGAGATAGGATTTACAAACTTGGTATACCCAGAGTCTGAAGGGCCTACCGCTGGAGGGTATGTTGCATTCTTAATTACTTTGTGCCAGATCCTTACAATTTGCCTAATTTACTATATTATATTTATCATTCGTCTTCACGAGTTGCTTGTTTTCAGTGTGTGTGAATCCCTCTCACTCAACAAAACTATAGTAGTTGGAAAGGTGGTTCTCTGCTTCACTACAATGGGTCGTCAAGCGATAACAAATGCTTCAGCAGTTGTGAAAGAAGCAGGAGGTGTTGGCCTAATCATCGCAAAGAATCCAAGTGGTGCTTTATCTCCATGTATTGAAGACTTTCCATGCATTGAAGTTGACTATGAGATTGGCACTCGAATTCTATTTTATATCCGGTCAACCAGGTACGGAACGTTAAATTTTATTGTAAAATGTGTGATTAGTATTGCTAGGTTTGTTTGTAATCCTCAAACTTTGTTTGGAGTGCACAGATATCCTCTTGTAAAGCTGAGCCTTCCTAAAACGACCGTTGGAAAACCACTATCTGCCAAGGTGGCTTATTTTTCCTCTAGGGGGCCAAACTCCATTGCACCAGCAAGTCTCAAGGTATCTACTCTAAATTAATGCAGATGTTCGATGTATAAAGGGCTGGGCGACTGAAGTTTTCATGTTGACATCAATTCTTGAAAATTAATTTGTAACTCTCAACAGTTCAATAAACTGAAACTTTTTTCAAGGGATCATCTCTTGCATGTTTTCTCCTGGAAAAGTTATCAACAAGTTTTAGGTAGAGACAAGTTAGTGTCGTTCGACATTCACCTTAAAGTCTTAAACTGTTGAGACTCTTCTTATAACACTTTTTTTGTTGTTGTGTCTTTGTCGGACAGCCAGATATAGCCGCGCCTGGTGTGAACATACTAGCAGCAACTTCTCCACTTTATTCATTCGCGGAGGGTGGATATGCCATGATGTCTGGAACATCAATGTCAACTCCTCATGTCACAGGCATTGTGGCTCTTATCAAGAGAATGCATCCTAATTGGTCTCCAGCGGCCATCAAATCAGCACTAGTAACAACTGGTAATCACATATTATATGATATGTTCCCAGTTTCAATAAGATACATGTGAAACTTAACAGTGTTATAAATTTAAATGAAGCATGGAGGAACGGCCCATCTGGTTTACCGATATTTGCGGAAGGATCTCCTCAAAAGTTGGCAAATTCATTTGACTTCGGGGGTGGTCTGGTGAATCCCAATGGCGCAGCAGACCCTGGACTAGTATACGACATGGGTGCAGCAGACTACATGGAATATCTTTGTGCAAGGGGGTACAACAACTCTGCCATCTCTCGACTTACAGGGAAAAACACAACATGTCCCGTCAAGAAGCCCTCTATCCTTGACGTTAACCTACCTTCCGTGACCATACCTAGTCTGAGAAATCCAATCACGGTAAAAAGAACTGTAACAAATGTTGGAGCCCCTGAGTCCATTTACAAAGCTACCATTGAACCTCCATTCGGTACAATTGTATATGTGAACCCTACTGCTCTGGTCTTCAATTCCACAGTTGAAAAACTCACTTTCACAATCACAATCTCCGCAATCCACGAGATGAACACTGGTTACTATTTTGGAAGCCTTACTTGGGTTGACGGAGTGCATGCCGTGAGGATCCCCTTGTCTGTGAAAACTGAGTTCTTACAACCTCATGATGATGATGAAGACTAAATTGAATACTGAAATAAATTAGTGCATTTTAGTTATCCAATAACTATAACATTATCATTCCATATGTACTAAAAATAAGATACCAATGATCTCACACCCGAAAACATAAGAAGCAAAAAGAGGGAAAAGAAGTAGTGGATCGTATGTGTTTTCTTGTATCACCAGATGGACAAAGAAGAAAGAACTTGTTGACCGAATCTCAATGTCCATTATTTTCGCTAGGAAATTATGGAGGAAAGCAATTTATAATTTAATTGTTTAGTTTTTCATTTTAATTTCTTTTTGTATTAGCAGGTGACAAGTTTTGAGTTGGGTCATAGTTTCATACAACATGATCACCTATTGAAGATTAAAGAAGATAGTATTCGCATCACTTAATATTTCTCAATACTTAGATGATATAAAATTAAAATATGGGAAACCATAACCTTTCATTTGGCCATATATATAATTATATGGGTAAACAAATCTCCATAATCTGACATTTATTAATGAAAAGTTCAAAAAAAAAAAAAAAATGTTCTGGTTCTCTCTCTTTTTTCAAATCACTCCGCATGAAGTTTTTGTGCATAATAAAACTCTTAAATACCAATCCTTGTTTCAAATAAATGAAAAGTGAATGATCGAAGTCCGTTGTATATTTTTTCCCCTCAGCTTTTTCTTGGAAAGGTTCTTTGTACGGTTTGGTGTCTTTCTGTGCAGTGCATAAATTTTGTAAGTATATTGTGTACAGTGGTTTGTGAATAAACATTATTAACACACTTTCTTTTCTACAAAGATAAATTTAACCTGAAAAGAAAATAACTCAAATAGACTTTTTGTTTTTTTTTTCTTTGAAAAACCTGGTCAGTATGAGGGAAATTTTATTGATACCTAAAAAAGAAATTACACTTAGTCAAAAGAGACATAAACCTTACTCCTTATAAAAGTACATGAAAAAAAGAGACATGAAACCTGAGTCCTCTAAAACCAAAACTAAAAGGTCAAAAACCTGCAAAACAAGTTAAACACTTCCACAAAGTTAGGACAACTCAAATGGACTTATATGGATGCTTCTTTGTTACAAACTATAGCCTATTATTATAAAAACAATTTATTGTATAGGCTTCTTATATGTATGCTTCATCTTCTCCACGAACTTATGAATTAAGTGAATATTTTTTTTCCTGTAAAATTTATTCCTCACTGGACACAGGAGTTTCAAGTGAATGCACTTTCTTCCTTAGTTTCCAACGACAAATTTAATTCATTAGGTCCATTACCATATCATACTCCCAAATTCTCCGACACTCCAAGGAAATTTTTGCATGTATTAGGAAGAAATACCGTCACGTGTTGTTATAATTTAAAAATAAATTAATAGTTTTGATGTATCTTACATTTAAATTTTAACTTAAAAGGGATCACCCGAAGCTCGGAAAAATGGCTTTGAGGATTTTCAAGGACCACCCATGTTAGTGATGCTGCACCAGTGATGCTGCGCAAGTGATGTTGCACAATGACTTGGCCAAAATGATGTCGTTTTGAGCCAAGTCATTAAAAAAAATTTAAAACCTCACTCACGTGAGAACCCTCACACGATAGAGCACTCAACTCCTTCACACGATAGAGCAATTAGAATCTTCACTTTACCAATAATACCTAATCGTCTGCTACTCGGCCTGCTCTTGTTCCTTACGTCATCGATCAACTCTCTACTGCACTCTAGTTTCTGTTCACCATTGCACCGACGGGCGGGGTGACGATATCTCTAGTGAAAATCTGTAACCCTTTTGCATTTTTTTCTCCGTGTAAAGCTTTGGTTTGGAGGCTAGCTGCTGGTCCTCTTTTTCTTGGTCGAAGAGGTTTGTACTCTCTTTGACTCTGTCCATTAAATAATTTTGCCATCCACTATCTGATATTAAATTATTTGTGGTGTTAGATATTTAAATAATTTTACCATCCACTATCTGATATTAATTTATTTGTGGTGTTAGATATTTTGTTTAAGAAGTATTTTTATCTTTAATGTTTGGTGGTGAATTTGGTGATGAATTAAACTTTTAATGTTTCTTTGAAGTGATGGCAGCCTATTTGTGGCATGTTTGTCTTTGGCATTCATAATATTAGAATCCCACCGGCAAGAACCTAATTATAAATTTATAAATGAATCTGATTTCTCGTTTTTCATATAATATTTTTGTAGTTTCATCAATTGATATAGATTTTTTTATTAATTGATATGTGTAGAAATTAGAAGTATGGAATGATATTACAAGCGAAAATCATCGTCAATTAGTTCGGACAATCATATTCTAAATAGTTCATCTCCAAACTTGGATAGTTCCAATCCTATTCCGAACAGTTCCCCTCCAATTCCAAGTAGTTCTAATCCAATTGGGGTAATTCCACTCCACAACAAAATGAGTTAAAAGTTGATTTGGATAATCTTGAGAGAGACCCTGGAAAGAGAATTTCAATGAAGGATTATCCTCCAGATATTTGAGATGAGGTCCGAAGAGCATATATATTGATGGGGCCTTTTAGAGCTAAAGATCATGATTTTCCATTCACTTTGCATTCGAATAAAAAACGACAGTTCGTTGATAATTGGTTGAAGGAATTTCATTGGTTGGAATATAGTATATCTAAAGATGTTACATTTTGCTTTTATTGCCATCTATTCAAAGTCAACTTTGAACAATCAAGCAGTAACGTCTTTATTGAGATAGGCTTTCAAAATTGGAAGCACGCAAGAGCCTGTTTTGAAAAACATGTGGGAATGGTTGGTAGCTTTCACAATAAAGCTGTTGAAGCTGCTGGTAATCTAATGAATTAAAAGACACATATTGAAACAGTTGTGGTCAAACAGTCAGAAGAAGCTTGTATGGCTTATCGCACTTGCTTGAATGCGTCAATTGATTGCACTAAGTTTTTGTTGTGACAATGTCTTTCATTTCGTGGTCATGATGAAAGTGACACTTCAAACAATAGAGGTAACTATTTGGAGCTTTTGCAATTCCTTGCGAATCATAATGAGAAAATAAAGGCCGTTGGGTTAGATAAAGCTCTGGAAAATCTGAAGCTAATAGCTCATTCAATTCAAAAAGATCTTGTTCATTCATGTTCTATTGAAACCATTAAAACTATCATAAGTGATATGAAGAATGCTATGTTCTTTTCTCTATTGGTTGATGAGGCACATAATGTTTCTATAAAGGAGCAAATGGCGTTGGTTTTGCGTTCTGTCGACAAAAATGGAAAAGTCATTGAAAGGTTTGTAGAAGTTCAACATGTTCCCGACACCACTTCAAACACATTAAAAGAGTCTATTGATGCCTTCATTCATTTCAATGAGTTAAGCTTCTCCAATTTACGAGGGCAATGTTACGATGGTGTTAGTAATATGAAAGGTGAGTTCAATGGACTCAAGACAAAGATTTTGAATGATCAACCTTGTGCATTCTATGTTCATTGTTTTGCTCATCAACTCCAATTAGCTCTTGTTGCCGTAGCAAAGGATAATGTTGATGTTAACACATTCTTCCTATTGGCTAATAATGTGGTAAATAATATTGGAGCTTCATGTAAGCGTCGCGATGCACTTAGAGAGATGCAACAAAAATAACTTATGAAAGCTCTTGAAAATGATTCTCTTATGACGGGACTAGGTTTAAATCAAGAAACTAGTCTTAAACGTGTCGGAGCTACAAGATGGAATTTACATTATGGTACTTTGATTAGTTTGATTACTATGTTCTCATCCGTGGTCAATGTGCTTGAAATGATTGTTGACTGTGGTTGAAGCAAATAGGTTATTGAAAGACATACAATCTTTTGAGTTTGTGTTTCTCCTATTTTTGATGAAATCTATATTGGGAATCACAAATGATTTATCACAAGCATTACAAAATGATGATCAAGAGATTGTGAATGTAATGGCTTTAGTCAACACATGTGAAGAACAACTACTCTACATGAGGAATTATGAGGGGTTTGACCTTTTGGTTTGTCCAACATCATATTGAGGTTATTAACATGGATGAGACATATGTAGCTCATGGGAGATCGCGCCGTAATACCCACAAAAAGATCAACCGTCATCGTTACAAAGTGGAGCTCTTTTTTGTTGTCATTGATTCCCAGCTTACAAAGTTAAATGATCGCTTCAATGAAACAAGTACTGAATTGCTCATTTGTTTGGCTAGTTTGAGTCCGAATGATTCTTTTGCAGCCTTTGATAAAGAAAAGCTACTTTGCCTTGCTCAATTGTACCCTCAAGATTTTACGAAGCAAGACCTATTGGCACTTGAAGATCAACTTGATATTTATATTCATTATATGCGTTCGAGAAGTGACTTTTCTCAGTTGCAGAGCATTAGTGATCTTGCTAAGAAAATGGTGGAAAAAAGGTTGCATCAAGTATTTCAATATGTGTATTTACTTATTGAATTGGCTTTGGTTTTACCTGTTGCAACTGCATCAATGGAAAGAGCATTTTCCGCCATGAATATCATTAAGAGTTCACTCCGCAACAGAATGGGGGATCAATGGTTAAATGATAGCTTAGTTGTTTACATTGTGAAATATGTTTTTTCTTGTATTGACAATGAAACTATCATGACACGTTTTCAAAGTATGAGATCTCATCATGGACAAATTTAATATTTCTAGCTTGTTTAGCACAAAGATTATGCATGAAAATTGTAGTTTGCCATTTATTTGTTCAATGATTTTTTCATCTTGTTTTTTTTTTTGGAGCTTTTATATTGGGACCACCCTAAGTTAAAATCCTAGATCCTCTATTGATACTAACCACATAATTCCCTTCTTGACAGACCTTTGATTGTCATGACTCATTTTGACCTATCCCCGTGCTTCCTATGTTTTTCCCATAAACTTTTGTTTAAGTTTACATAGGAAGGAATTTAGCAGTTCATTAGATCTAGTTAGACTCATTTTTGTTCTGTTTTGTGTTGTTTTTCTCTTTTTATGTTCAAGCTAAACACATGGACATTACATATGCGGTGATGTAGAGCATGTGTAATTGTTGGATTTCACATGTGGATAATTTGTTTTGATACCATAAAGGAAGTTGAGGTTTCACTATAAGTGTTGATAATGAATCACGCATTGATGGGAAGCGGGACCTTTGCATGAGCTTATCAGTAAGCTAAGATATTCCTCATATTACCAATTAATTTAAGGTGAAACCTTAACTTTCTTCATGATATCAAAATAGGTTGTCTCATGTGCGAAGCCCAGCAATCACATTGCTCCATGTCTGTTCCATGTGTTAGGCTTGAAAATTTTCGCTACACGTAAGAAGACGTATTGAGAATGAATCACATATTAATGGGAGAAGGAATCTTACATTAGCTTATAAATAAGTTAAGTTACTTCTCGTATTAACAATTAATTTTATAATAAAATCTCAACTTCTTCACTATCATACACATTCAAATGTTGCAGAAGAAAATATATTAATAGGCTTCTAAAAAGTTGGGTACTATAGTTAAACTTGTCAGTAGCTTTGGGTGAATGCTACTCTTAGTTTTATTCAGTTTTGAAATAAGCTATTTGAAAACTGAAACTGGTGATGCAAACTTGATGGTGGCTACCAATTAGATTATTTTATTATATAGTTCTGTTCATGGATTATATATCACACTACCAAATTATTTTATTAGGCAACTCTGTAGATAGATTATACAAGAAAAAATCCAGGGGCAAAACCGTCCCCCCACTGGTCATCCACAGTACTCAACCCTTACGGGTTTTAGTATATATGATATCACACAATCAAATTATTTTATTTGGAAGCTCTGTCCATAGATTATATATCACACAATCAAATTATTTTATTAGGCAGCTCTGTACATAAATTATACTAGAAGATGAGCACATACTCTGTGTAAACAATTTCAAATTATTTTTTGTTTTTTTATTAAGGAGTGTGATTAGTTTTTAAAATTAAAAAAAAAAAAGAGAATGAGACAATGATGATAAGACATTTTATCTTAATAAGGGCATATTTTTTTGCCATAGGAAAAATAGGTATATGATTATTTTCTAAAAAAAAAGAGGGTAAAATAGGAAAAATAGGGATATGATTGTCATTTTGTCAAAAGGTACAAAATTAAAGTCTCTTCAACTGCCTACCTCCTCCCACGTTCTCATCAAGCGGAACCGCTTCAGTTCATTCAAACTATTCAAAAAACATCATCATCTCACTTACTTGTATGAAAAAATAATGGTGGGACAATTTCTTTTAATAAATGCATATTTTTTTTATTTTATGTAAATACTGTGTATCAAAAGTGAGGGTAAAATAGGGAAAATAAGGATATGATTGTTATTTTTTCCAAAGATACAAAATTACTATTTTACCCTCCTTATGTAAATATTGTGTATCAAAAGTGAGGGTAAAATAGGACAAATATGGATATGATTGTCATTTTGTCAAAAGGTACAAAATTACTATTTTGCCCTCCTTATTTTAATATTGTGTATTCAAAAGTGAGCGTAAAATTGGAAAAAGTGGAGAAAAAAGTTTACAAGGGCTCTTCTCTTAATAGAACAAAATATCACACTTTCATTTCATATGCTCATTGAGATAAGCAGCTGATAAGTACTAACATAAAGCTCAAACTTAAATAATTAAGAGTGTTTATCATTTGCACCCAACGTCCTAGCTCTAACTCTGATTGATTACTTAAACAAATAAAAGAGCGCATCTCTGAGATGCTCAAGTTACAAAGTAATTCCTATGAGATGCCCTATTTGCTTATTTATCATCCAACATACGAGATATCACAAATAATAAAAGTTGCAGTAATTGCTAACGTGCAGCTTCTTAATGATCATCATCATCCTAATACGTATTAAACCCTAATAGATATGTAGATTTACCCAAACCCGACCCCATTCATTGTGGGCTTTTACAAGACCTGCTCAGACCATGATTGCCCCAAGCCCATATTCAACGTAACACGTGTTCTGGTAAAATCTCTTTTAAGGATTTGCCCCGCTAAACTTATGTGTCAATTGTTAAATAGCTACTCTAATGGCTCTCTTTTATTGACAGGCCCTCCATCAAAAGATGCATATTTTTATTTTTATTTTTCGAAAAAGATGAAAAATTTATAGTCTGTATGCTCGGCCAACAAATATTTGTAAATGTTCATTCCAATGCATTTTGACTGGACATTTCGCATCTCTTGATGGACAGATCTATTGCTTTATAGAAAGGTTTATGATTATTTCCCTTCCTCTTTCCATTCCCTTCTCTCATATTTTTTATTTTGCTTTTTTTTTTTTTATAAAAAATTAATATAAAATGTTAACGTGGCTTAAATGTGACCGTTCAAATAGGAGGAAAGAGAAAAAGAGGAAAAAAAGAAGAAGAGGAAAAAAAGAAGAAGAGGAAAGATCATCATACTCCTTACAGAGAATGTTTTCCAATGCATTTTGCATGGACATTTCCCATCTTCTATTGGATAGAAGTAAATCCCTATTATTTTATAAATTCACCTATATTAAAGAGTATGTCAGTTTTTTATTTTGAACAAACGATATTATCTACATTAACAGGATGAAAGAGCGGGTTAAGTCTCACAATAGGCTAGCAATAATATGATTCAACTTTGCATTTGGTGAGAATTGAACATAAGACATCTTACTTACAAATAAAAATGAATAAGAGTATGTCAATTTTATGTGTTACAAATATCATTGTTATTATTTTTTTACTTGATTAATAAAATCCTCCCTCAGAAGTAGGGTCAAGGTTCCCTCTAAAAAGATGTTCATTCTTCACTTGGTATTTCACATTTTTTTTTTTTTTTATCAATGATACATTTACCGTAAAAGAATGAGAGAATAAGTTAATTGTGAACTTGTTATTCTTCAAATTCAAATTTAAAATCTCACTTTTAAGTATTGAAGAATACCTCTCGACTATAGTAATAAACTAGAAAATGTGCCCGCGCGTTGTTGCGAAACTTGAATGCATCACCTTGAACTACATGAATAAGATACATTTTACCTGAATAAATTCAACACAATCATAAATGAATAAAGGGATAGATGAGTGATTGAGGTCAGTACGATATGCAGCTTCGTTTTTATATACATTCAACTGAGCTGACATAAAAAGACTTTGTACAATGAACAAGACGAAACTGAACGTTTTGGTTCCCTAATAAACAGAAGTAAACATACAGTTCACACAAATCTTGCCTCTGTAGTCAATGTGGCAAAATATATATCCTATAGGTTAGGCAACATAAAAACTGTTTCGTTCTTATTCTAGCATCAAAGTTTTCAAGCACAAACGTGCAAAGCTAAAAACATGCAGGACGCCTGTTTCAGTAAGAAACAGAAGTAACATCCAGTCCACACATATTTTGCCTTGCAGTTAAGATGGTGTTTCGTTCTTGTTCAAGCAGCTAAGTCTTGAAGCAAAAATGTTGAAAGCCAAAAACATGTAGAACGCCCTGCAGCAGTCGTTCTTGTTCAAGCAGCTAAGTCTTCCGCACTATAGCAAAGAATATAAATCATAGTTTAAAAGAATATCTCACGATGGTCCTGTTTAGAATCACAATTTACTCCCTCCCAATTTTCACCTAACTCCGAACAAACAATGTTGATAAATCTTTATCATCACCTTTAACAAAACAGATCACAGCGAAAAGAAGAAAAAAAGTTCCTATGCAAACAAATTCTTCTGGATGTCCAACTTAACCCATCTATGGGAAGGCAAGCAATCGGACGTGCATTTAGACCAATGAAAATAAATTATACAATTAAAAACATCAACCGATCCTCCTGAAGAGAAGACACACACATGCCAACATATTATTCACCAGATTCTAAGCTTTCATTTTCGTTCTATCCCCTTCGTTATCTAAACTTATAATTATCAAAACAGCAAAAGAATCATAGAGCAACCTTCAATCATTTGTCAAAACTGAATCAATTAAACTTCTGCTCAGCACTCTGTTAATTTTAATTGCAACTCTCATTCTAAAAATTAAAAATTTTGCATTTGAATAATCAAACTCACTTACACATTACATTCCTTTTATTGGTTCTTGACACAATACATTTTAGGATTTGATGTTACAATAATATCACTGCAAGCATGAATTGCGATAGATATAGAAACCAAACTTGCACACAAATGTTCGACTGAATTCAGAACCACTTAATTCAACACAAAAAAATTACCTCACATGCTTGCTCCCCTTATGCTCTCACATCATTGGCTGCGCTTCTAAACGATTAATGAAGTCCTAAAAACAGAACAACAAAAAACGTTTAGCTATCCAACATTTCAACATAATGGTTTTGGCAGGTATAACATTTCAACATAAGCATGATATAGAAAGACAGAAATCCACATGTCGCTTTGTTTTTTCAGAACCAACACCCTCTCCTCTCTCCCTCATATCACACATCCCCATCTCGTGAAGGCACTGACACCAGACCACCTCCCTAGAAACCGGCCCTAAAAACCCATACCCATACCTCCCTTACCCATTACCTTTCTCAAAGCAAAAAGTGTTATATATGATAGTACTTACCCCAATCTGGTTAATGACATTCACTGCATAACACTCACCAGTAGGTATAGTCTCGCTCTTTGAGAAAGGCCTGAGGTCAAAATTGGCAACAACAAATTAACAAAGCAAAATGAAAGATTAAATCTATAGTCACCACAAATATTTTCTAAAACAGAAGATAGACCAGAGTCAAACAGGAAAGGGATAGCAGACACGGTGAGCTTTGTCTCAGTTTGAAAAGAAAAAAGAAAAGAAAATTGGGTAGTTTCAGGAGCAATAACTATGTTGAGTATAGTGAAGGGGGAAAGCCATATCTTCCTATGAATGAATTTAAAAGAGGGGATTTTTCTGCATTTTTAGGACAAAAAACGAAGCAGCTAACATTTCTTTCTGTTTTTTGCCTTTTATGATCTTCTGATCTTCTTCTAGTAACATGGATAGTTGAAGTAGGATTGCCATTGTATCCAACATATATCAAATTCGCCAAACTTTGGTTTGGATATAACAGTGTCATGAGGGCCCACTGGATCTACAGATTCAGAAAAACTCTGTGAGCCATTCACATATACCTGTCAAAGTGCACAACACCATTAAATGCTAGAGTTAACATCTACCTGTTCATCCACAGAATGGATACAGTGAAGGAGACACAGAAAACAAACCAAGCTTCAAGTCCCGATGTCTAATCTAAATTAGAGAACGCTCACCCAGAAGACAAAGTAATACACATTTCTTAGGAAATTGTTTTGCAGTAGAGGCTATATAAGTGATCATTTCAACAACCTGTTGCTGAACCTGCGTTTATCAAGACATAATAAAGTAAAGCAAACAAAACAAGGCATTGTTAAATCTTCCTAACTAAAAATTCATAAAGTAACACCACCAAAACAAACAAAAAAACGCGTTGTTAAATCTTCCTCACTTTAAAGAAAAAAATTAAGGAATATCCCCACCATAAAAAGTAACACCACAAAAAAAAAAAAAAAAACAAAAAACAAAAAAGACTTCGTAAAGACAACACTCTTGTTAAGATACCCCAACTAAATCAGTTAACAGCAAGAGAACAACATGACAATGGGAGTCTACAAAAAGGAAAAAGAACAGAAGATATAAAATAGTAGACAAATGGTCATAATTATATGAATTGAAATTGTTCAAAAAAAAAAAACAATGATGAATACATACTTCCTTAGAATAAAAAAATTGATTAATTCATTATAATGGTTTCTTGGAACCCAAGTAGAAAAGGATACAACTTAATAACAATGGAAGCCACAAACCCATGTCATTTCTTATTCGGGATCAAATAGAGCATATTTCTTATTCGGGAACCAGAAATTTAAGATTGCAAGCTCGAGACTTCCATACCTCAAACCGAAGTCGGCATGCTGTCTAGTAGTCCAAACCTTGATCCTTGATAAATTGAACTTCCTTCTTTGATCGAACAATCGAAAAATCGAAAAATAGATAAATTAGGCAGCATGTCATATCAATATAACACCCCTATATGTACACACACATACCAAAACAGCCTACATTCAGATTTGCATCATATCCTTGTTTCTAACTCTCTGGGGAATTTTCACAAACACTTAATAGGCAAGATTTGCTTCCATTTAAAAGAAATCTGATTTAATGAGTGATCTCAATTGCATGTATATCTGAACGACCATGCTTGTTAGTCAGTCATGTTATAGGATGTATTTAACACTTACCAAGCGGTTCCCAAAAAAAAAAAAATAATAATAATCGACCTTAAGACAGAGAACAAACAGGCAGACAGAGAGATGAATGTGCAAAATGAGAGAAAAGAAAACTAAACCAAGATTGGTATACAAAAGAGCATTAGATCTATAACCTGGAAAACAAAAAGAAAAAAAAAAGCCATACAAAAAACCCCAAAAAAAAAAAATAAATAAATAAAATTACGGACCCTAAGACAGAGAACAAACAGGCAGACATAGAGATCAATGTGCAAAATAAGAGAAAAGAAAACTAATAAGGGAAATAAATATCTCTGATGATTCCCCCAAAATCTGACCTAACACACTAAAAAATTCGAAAATAATCCACAACAAAAAGGCAGAAACGTGACAATCTAAGCTGATAGAAAAAAAAAAAATTTAAAAGCACTTATCTTTCGAAATCCAGGCATGCAGCGGTAGATCCGGATAACCCATATGGTTTTCTCTGACCATCCCTACTCTCCCACTTCTGAAATCCATGACTCATACTTCTCCCCTTCGCTCTCTTTCCATCGTCATCTCTCTCTCTCTCTCTCTCTTTCTTCCGCTCTTTGTCAGAGTCTCCATCCCCCCGAAACCCTCATTGAAGGACATCAAATGAAACTGTACACAACAACCCTCGAATTCAGTCAAAACCGAGAAGACAAAACCCACTTTCCCACTTTTGAAATCCATCACCCATACCTCTCCCCTGCGCTGTCTTCCCCTCGGCATCTCTCTGTCTCTCTTTGTCTCTCTCTCTCTCTCTCTCTGTTTCTTCCGCTCTCTGTGAGAGCTTCAATTCTCCGAAACCATCAGTGAAGGACAGCAAATGCAACCCTACACGACAACCCCTTAATTCACTCAAAACCGAGAGGACAAAATTGCCCTTCCAACCTAGTTCACATATAATGGGTTTCTTGCAAATAAGGTGAAATGAAAGGGTAATTTGTCCTAAACCCTCCAGACAAAATTACCCTTATCAGTTCAAATAATACCCTTCAAACCCAGCCCAATTCTCATGATTTTATTGTAAATAAGTTGAAATCAAGAGGCAAACAATTGACTGTAGCCCAATGAACAGTCAATTGCTCCTCAATTTTAGAATAGATAATTACCAGCATTTCACAACTTTGAATAGATGCGAAATATGATATATATTGTAGTAAAAAACACCCGGATAAAATAACCGTAAAAAGTAATGGATAGGACCACATAATTATGTCATAATTTGGTAATGTATTATTCTGTCAAGACTTCTGCACGTTAGAGGGGCAGCGTGACTAGAATATCCATTGTATGGGTTAGAGATTAATTACATTACCACCTGAGATATATATCATATTCCATCCATACTAAAAAGGCTCCAAAGTCGTCTTTGATATAGGAATGCATTTGACTCTCCTAATAAAACTTGGTGGTATTTAATTAATCCATTTGTGTAAACAATATATGCCACCTGATTTGGAGAACTATGTCAAGCCTTCTAGAATTATGCGAAATGTCTACCACTTGTGAATTGTGATGCTCGTTACTCACCTGTCACTTTATTTTATAAATATCGCAGAAGACCTGGTCTTTATATTTGAATTAGTACAATTTGATCAACAAGCATACCCTTTATTTTTTTAATACGATTGATATTTTACTTCAAATTAATCAATACAATTGTCTTCAAATACATAAAAAAGCACATCGAGTCCAATTAATATAATTAATTTCATGTCTGCAACAATTACCCTGTTTAGATGAACTGATTTGTCGAATATTTTCAAAACTTCATGACAGCAGGAAGGGAGTTTAACTTCCAATGTCTAAAAAAGTATTCACCGCCAACTTTTTTGTCCCTTTTGCCTTCATTTAAGGTTTGAGATTTAGACAGAGAGGTTATTTTCCAACCTACGATTTTTGTTTCTAGAACGTAAATAGTCAACATTGGAAGGTTATGGATCAAAGATTTAGATTAGTATTAGCAGAGAAGTTTCCATTCAATCTGTCTCCGTCACCTTCTGTATTATCATCCCTTATTTCCTTCACACACACACACACACACACACACACACACACTCTCTCTCTCTCTCTCTCTCTCTCTCGGGGTCAAGATATTACTAAGCAAAAAGGATTAGTATTTTGTAGCTTTCAAAAGAAATAGAAAATAAAATATATTAATAGGAGCCTACTGCTAAGAGCAGTCATTCTTGTACCTGATGTTTCAAGCAGGATATCCCCGGTCCGGCTAATATTGCTTGTATAAAAATAAGGGAGTTTTAACGAAACATTTTCGGTACTGTTTACTTTTAATGAAAAACTTATACATTTTTACCTTTTTTTGGCTACTATTTACTACACCTTTATTTGTCATTTTTCATTAAAACTAAAGATTTTTTTGAACTTTTCGTTAGTTTTCCTGAAAAATAAAGCCTGAAGTGATCGAGGACTTTAAAATTTAACTTTTCCCATTATTTATTCTCTAATTTCCCCTAACTTTTATTGACTTGACCTACCCTCCAAGCTAGCATGCACCAGCCTACTGCTGTTATAAAAATAACGGCTAACAACCACGTTATGCAGAGTTCATCAAATGTTCATATACATGCACTTGGTATAGTTCGTTGCAAGTGATTTGTGACTCTAGTTTTTTTTATCTATATATTCGAAAGAGAGTGCTCAGATTCTTCATCTTTATTCCGTCTTAATTGATCAACCTCTTCCACACCCTCCTCCCCTTCTCTCTTTCTTTATGTGGTAGAGACAATATGAGCAGATCAAGTTCAATACTCGCTCTACTCAGCCTTATCTGTTTTACTGGTCAGGGGTTGATAACAAAGGTGGCAGTAAAGAGCCATGTATATTTTCAACATCTCAAACACTTTTCTTGTTCTTTACGATTTGCCTTTTCTTTGATTTTTCTTCGAAAAACTTGAACTGGGTGCTCTAATACATCTCTCAACCAACAGGTACACATTGTTTACATGGGAGATAGGCAGCATGACAACACCAAGTTAATCACAGATTCACATCATGACTTGCTTGCCACTGTCGTGGGAAGGTAGTATAAATGGATGTACAAAAATAAAGCCTTAAAGACCAATTATGTGAATTTTAGTCTAGGATCGATGCTTAAATAATCAAAAGTTTGAGTAAAATGCTTGTTAAGTAACTATGTGGTTCTTATGCTTCAGCAGGGAATTAGCCTCGGAATTGATGGTATACAGTTACAAACATGGTTTCTCTGGGTTTGCAGCCAAGCTCACAGAGTCTCAAACCCAACAACTTTCAGGTATCTTTTAAAAACATTGCTATAGATTATTCAATAAAGTCATGTATAGTGTTCAATGATTGACAATGATAACACAAACTGCCATGGAATCATAAAATGTTCTTCAATGTAAATGAATAAGAGCAGTGTACTTATAATTGTGGCTTCTTATGCTTATAACATTTGTGAATTCAAGAGTTGCCTGGTGTTGTACGAATCATACCAAATAGCCTTCATAAGCTGGAAACAACTAGGAGTTGGGATTTTCTTGGCCTCTCACCTCACTCCCCTTCCAATATTTTTCCCAAGAGCAACATGGGGGATGGAGTTATCATAGGTGTTCTTGACACAGGTTGCTCTCTCTCTCTCTCTCTCTCTCTCTCTCTCTCTCCCTCCCTCCCTCCCTCACACATACACACATACACATACACATGTACAGTGTACACACACGTAGTGGTCCCTTAACATAACCACTGAATGAATCGAGGCAGGTATATGGCCGGAGTCTGAATCATTCAATGAAAAAGGCCTCGGGCCTGTTCCATCTCATTGGAATGGTGTTTGTGAATCTGGGGACAATTTCAATGCTACAATACATTGCAATAGAAAAATCATCGGAGCCCGTTGGTTTATCAATGGACTTCTTGCCGAGTATGCAAAGCCATTGGAAAAAGAATTCCATTCTCCTAGAGATGCACATGGACATGGTACTCATACCTCAAGCACTGCAGCTGGTTCTTTTGTGGCTGATATCAGCTACAAGGGCCTTGGTCTTGGTACAATTAGAGGCGGTGCTCCAAATGCTCGGTTGGCCATTTACAAGGTTTGTTGGAATGTGCTTGGAGGCAAATGCTCAACAGCTGATATGTTGAAAGCTTTTGACGAAGCAATACATGATGGGGTTGATGTGCTGTCAGTGTCAATTGGGTATCCTATTCCCCTCTTCTCAGATGTTGATGAGCGTGATGGCATTGCAACCGGTTCCTTTCATGCTGTGGCTAAGGGGATTACTGTTGTGTGCTCAGCTGGAAATAATGGACCTTCAGCACAAACAGTTTCGAAGACAGCACCGTGGATCATAACTGTTGCAGCAAGCACCATGGATCGAGCATTTCCTACTTCTATAACTTTAGGAAATAATAAAACTTTCCTGGTATGTATTTTTGTGATTGGGGCAATTAGCATTTTGGAGTTTGAAGCATCTCATACACGCATTATTTGATATTCTTGTAGGGTCAAGCTATGTTTATAGGGACAGAGATTGGATTTACAAGCTTGGTATACCCAGAGTCTAAAGGGCTTACCACCAGAGGGTACGTAGCATTCTTAATAACTTCGTGCCAGATCTCACAGTTTGCCTAATTTACAATATATTTATCATTTGTTTTCACGAGTTGCTTGTTTTCAGTGTGTGTGAATCTCTCTCACTTAACAAAACTATAGTAGTTGGAAAGGTGGTTCTCTGCTTCACTACAATGGGTCGTCAGGCGATAACAAATGCTTCAGCAGTTGTGAAAGAAGCAGGGGGTGCTGGCCTGATCATCGCAAAGAATCCAAATGATGCTTTATATCCATGTAATGAAGACTTTCCATGCATTGAAGTTGACTATGAGATCGGCACTCGAATTCTATTTTATATCCGGTCTACCAGGTACTTTAAATTTTATTGTAAAATGTGTGATTAGTACTGCTAGGTTTGTTTGTAATCCTCAAAAATTTGTTTGGAGTGCACAGATATCCTCTTGTAAAGCTGAGCCCTCCTAAAACAATTGTGGGCAAGCCACTATCTGCCAAGGTGGCTTCTTTTTCCTCTAGGGGACCAAACTCCATAACACCAGCAATTCTCAAGGTATCTAATCTAATTTAATGTACATTTCATGTTCACATCAGTTCTTGAAAATTTGTGACTCGCCACATTACAATGAACAGAAGCTTTCTTCTAGATATCATCTCATGCATGTTTCTCCTGGAAAAGCTATCAACAAGTTTTTGGTAGAGACAAGTCTGTGAGATTCACCGTAAACCGTTGAGACTCTTCTTATAACACTTTTTTTGTTGTTGTGTCTTTGTCGGACAGCCAGATATAGCCGCGCCTGGTGTGAACATACTAGCAGCAACTTCTCCACTTTATTCATTCGCGGAGGGTGGATATGCCATGATGTCTGGAACATCAATGTCAACTCCTCATGTCACAGGCATTGTGGCTCTTATCAAGAGAATGCATCCTAATTGGTCTCCAGCGGCCATCAAATCAGCACTAGTAACAACTGGTAACCACATATTATATGATATGTTCCCAGTTTCAATAAGATACATGTGAAACTTAACAGTGTTATGAATTTAAATGAAGCATGGAGGAACGGCCCATCTGGTTTACCGATATTTGCAGAAGGATCTCCTCAAAAGTTGGCAAATTCATTTGACTTCGGAGGTGGTCTGGTGAATCCCAATGGCGCAGCAGACCCTGGACTAGTATACGACATGGGTGCAGCAGACTACATGGAATATCTTTGTGCAAGGGGGTACAACAACTCTGCCATCTCTCGACTTACAGGGAAAAACACAACATGTCCCGTCAAGAAGCCCTCTATCCTTGACGTTAACCTACCTTCCGTGACCATACCTAGTCTGAGAAATCCAATCACGGTAAAAAGAACTGTAACAAATGTTGGAGCCCCTGAGTCCATTTACAAAGCTACCATTGAGCCTCCATTCGGTACAATTGTATATGTGAACCCTACTGCTCTGGTCTTCAATTCCACAGTTAAAAAACTCACTTTCACAATCACAATCTCCGCAATCCACAAGATGAACACTGGTTACTATTTTGGAAGCTTTACTTGGGTTGACGGAGTGCATGCCGTGAGGATTCCTTTGTCTGTGAGAACTGAGTTCTTACAACCTCATGATGACGATGAAGACTAAATTGAATACTGAAATAAGTTAGTGCATTTCAGTTATGAAAAACATTCAATCACTATAACATTATCCCTCCTGTACTAAAAATAAGATACCGATGATCCCACGCCTAAAAACGCAAGAAACAAAATGTGGGAAAAGTAGTGGATTGTATGTGTTTCTTGTATCACCAGAGGGACAAAGGAGAAAGAACTGGTTGACGAATCTCAATGTTCATTATTTTCGCTAGGAAATTATGGAGGAAAGCAATTTATAATTTAATCATTTAGTTTTCCGTTTGAGTTTCATTTTTGTATTAGCAGGTGACAAGTTTTGAGTGGATCATAGTTTCACACAACATGGTCACCCATTGAAGGTCAAAGCAAGTGGTACTTGTATCATAACCTTTCATTTCGCTCTGCCCTCTCCCGAGATCCTTATGTTGAGATCATATGATAACTTGTATTGAAGTCATTAACATTTGCAAAAACAGGTGTTAGTTAAACAATCAGTGACTTTGCAGCCAGGAGCACAAGTTAAATCATCGCAGTCGCGATTATGAGCACAGTCTGTCACGTCTCCTGCACTGGCTTGGATCTCTTTTTCTTTTTCATCAAAAGGAGGACAAATGCATTCAACACCTACACATTTGCCATCGTGTTTTGAATATGAACATAGACCTCCATCTTTTTTGCATTCAAAATCGCGCGCACATGGAAAAGAGTATCTAGCTCCATAAACCTTCCAATTTTGTGAACCTAAAAGATACAGCAAGCCAATTCGATTTCATCAGTCATGTAGTACAAAAAAACACTGGCTAGCTAACATTGGGGGGAGAGAGAGAGAGAGAGAGAGAGAGAGAGAGAGAGAGAGTACATGTAGTAACAAAGACGACTAGCAGAATAACCATCTTGATAGTTGTCATCTTAGGATTTTTGATCACTCGAAACTACGAAGGATGTATCAGTTTGTAGTTTGTAAGTCGGTTGTATGTGATAAGGAATATATAGGGTATGACCGGATTTAGGCCCTAATGTTATTCCTTGGAGCAAAATTGGTAACACGGATTTTTGCAGATTTCTTAAAAGGTTTTTCCTATTTAACATATAATTTCTTTCTTTAACGAGATTTTTTACATTAAATTTTTGCCATACATTTAATTATATGGGTCAACAAATCTCCATAATCCGAAATTTAATGAAACTTTAAGGACTGCTAAAGTTACTTCATTTAGTTATATGGCTGAGGATGATCAAGAAGAAATTGCAAGACTTACGACGATTTGGTTTCTGAATTTGAAATGAAAAAGATTTGGGTGCCTTGAGTGTTTTTTGGGGATTGAAGTCGCCTTTTTAGACCAAGGCATATTTCTATTGCCATGGAAATATGTTCTTGATTTGTTGACAGAAATTGGTTTGCTAGATTGTAAGCCATCTGATACACCCACTGTTCAAAATCATGATCACGGAGAGTATTCAGATTAGATTAGTAGGAAGATTTATTTATTTATCACATACTAGACCAAACATTGCATATGCAGTAAGTGTTGTGAGCAACGAGGAGTCAGAATGTATTAAAGAAAAGAGAAATTTTATTTGAACCCATATAATCTCTTTTTACACTCAATTTACTCTCTACACCCATATTATTTTTAATTAAAGAATTAATATCCTTTAAACCCAAATTTATTACCTAAACTATCCTCGCAAACCCAATTTATAATGTAAATTTATCTTTAAACTCATTTAGAAAATAAAATCCCAAATTGAATAATTTGGTGAAGTTTCTACTTCTTTATGAGAATGAAAGCTTTATGGCGTTCGACTTCTAAGGACAAGTTGAATAATTTAGTGAATTTTCTACTTGTTTATAAATCTTCCATATTATTGGGGTTCAAATAAACTGAACAATGTAGCCTATACTGTGAATCGAACATGTAATCCTTTTGACTAGCATCTTTTACTACACTAGGAGAAACGCTAGGGACATCAAAAGTGATGGGTATCAGATAAAACCTTGGATTAGTATTTTGTTGACTCCTCGTTGCTCTTCTCGCTATGCATCCCAAATTGAGAACAACTGGATTGTTTTACGAAATTAAATATAACAATTTTTTTTTAAGTGGAAGATTACATATGCATATTCCTAGACAAATATTAAACAATAGCAATACAAGGCTGGAGAAACTCTCCAGTTCAGTAGTCTCATCTCATCGCCCCGACTTATCATGCTAATGGCATAATTAGTTCCATCCCAAAGGGTTTTACGGTCCATGTATTCTGCCCATAAAACAATATATATTGCAAAGTACATCACTTTAAAAGAATCAAATAAGTAAAAATTCAGCATTATACACCATAATTCTGTTCTCCTACTCAGAAAATGCAGAAAGTAGAAAATAAAAAAATAAAACTTTAACCCCAACCTAATTAGCTATCGATTAGGGTTGTGAATGAGATCCATAGCTCTGCTACTAAGAAGAACAAAGAGTGGCAAGAGAAGCTCCCTATCGTTGTTCTCAAAGCTGAAGAATAGTTTACTCCAAAGCCAATTTGGTGCCGAACTATCCAATTAGAGAACAAGCTCTAAAATTATTGGGTTGCGTTTGTTGATAAATTTTAGTTTCATTGTTAATTTCATCTTGTACTTGATGATAATTATGCAATAGGATAAAATAGATAATTCACATTTAAAGTTTAAGCTAGGTGTAGAAAGAAGTTATATGGGTTCAAATAAAATTTTCCTACAAAAAATTCACTTAGCTCTATATTTTAAAAAGCTTTTGTAATAAATAAATAAAAAAAGGCAGAATTTACCTTTTTTTGGGCATAACCCAACAAATTCAGCTGAAATAACCCAACGATGGTATAAGATATTCCCACTTTCTGGTATGCGAGTGAATGGAGAGAACCGGGATGAAAAAAATTAAAAAAATTTAAAAAGAGTTTCTGACCGCAGGATTTCCATAAACCGCCATGATTAAAAGATTTAAAAAGGTTCCGCTAGGAGAGATCCCGGTGCACCGAAAGTGGAGGGACTCTTTTTCTAGACCATAAATAGATGCAGCATATTTTCATATCAAAAAAGAGATGCTGCATGTTTTATTATCAAAAAGTAGATGCTGCACATGAGGGAAAGAGAGAGGAAGAAAATACAAGGAAAACAGAGTGAAATTCTTTTGGTTAATTCTTTTACTCAAGGTCTTGAAGGCCTTGTTGCCGGATTTGCTCCTCCCGCACGGCAGCTGTGGCTGACTGTATTCAGCCTTCCTCAACCAGGCCTCCTCCCTTTCTCTTTCTTGTGGTTGTTGAGGCAGAGAAGATATGAGCAACCCAAGTCCCCTAGTTGTTCTAGTCCTCTGGCTTCTCTGCTGTCTTAATAGCCAGGGCATGACAGAAAGTAGCAATGTATGTGTGCCAACATATCTCAAACACATTTTCTTCTTCTTTCTTTAGAAAATTCTGGATTCGATTTTGGTACCGTAACTTCTCACTTTCAACTAACAGGTGCACATTGTTTACCTCGGAGAGACGCAGCATGACAACCCCGAGCTGGTCGTTGATTTGCATCATGAATTGCTTGCCTCTGTAGTCGGAAGGTAACTTACAATTTTATTTCGCCTAGTCTAATTGTGTGTTCTATATACAAGTTCCAAAATCAGATTACCTGAAAGTTTTGTTCAGTGCAGTGAGAATTGTGGAACTAATACTCATGCCTTTACGCATGTCGTTCATTAGGGGTTTTGGATAGAAATGGAAAGGATTCAGTTTATCTAAGAGCAGAGGGCAGTAGGTACTTCTTTCGTTCCAATGGCACCCTAGATCTCAAAGTTCAGTGGTTGAAACCTGTGTTATCGATCAATGGTTGAACTAAAAATAACTCCAACACAGGAGATGGAAAACTCTATCCCCCATCCGGCTTCTTTTTTCCATTGCTATATATCATCCAAAACACTTGCTAGATTATAGACATATACTTCTGCTTAGTTCAACCTACTTGAAACAGTTGTGCGATATTTAATTCTGAATATAAAAGCTTCAACCAGACAAATTTTAGTAAAATGCTTGCTTAGTACTTTGATTCTTATGTTGCAGCAAGAAATTGGACTCGAATGCTTGTAAAGTACTTTGTTTACTCTCACATATATTTTCCCTCGTATAACTTGGCTTATACATCTTAAATTTTGAGGTAGAACAACCACACTAACAAAGTAGAAGGATGCATCAGTAGCGGGGAAAATAATTAGTTAATTTCCAGTTGTTCCATCACTTGTGAGCCCATGATGCACTCTTAACACAACATCTTGAAGAATCAACTCAACTCTTTCACAATTGATACGGATATATGCTTGCATGATAAATCTGCAACACCCAGAAACTTATGACCCCAACAATCTTCACATCCACGATCGAGGCATTGAAGTCGTGTTATGGCTTCCGCCCCTACAATCTTCACATTCACTTCAATAGCCAAACTCCTGCAGCAAAACAAGAAACACTTTCTAAAAACTCTAGACATCGTAAAAATGTAGACAAAGATAGATAGTCACAAGTCACAGCACACAGAAACTTATTACCACAACATAGAAAATAAAGATTGTCACCCAAGTCCAAGAGAGACATAACCAACTTGAAATAGATGCGTGATCTTTATTTTAGAAAATAAGCACGTGCACAATTGTTGTAAAAGTAGAAAACTACCCCCACCCTACCCTCCGATATCAAAATACGGAGTATGAGATTCTTTCACTCTTGAAGCACCATCTTATGTAGCAACTCCAACTGCTTTGTTGATTTGTAAGGAAAACTAAATAGCTAGTTTTCATTCTAATAAAGACTTAAAGATCGATTATATGAATTTTGGTCTAGGATTCTTGATTAAATGATCCAAATCTTGAGTAAAATGTTTGTTAACTAATGTGATTCTTGTGCTGCAGCAAGGAATTGGCCTCAGAATTAATGGTATACAGTTACAAACATGGTTTCTCTGGGTTTGCAGCCAAGCTCAGAGAGTCTCAAGTCCAACAACTTTCAGGTATCTTTCTAAAATATTTGCCATAGATTATTCAATAAATTCATGTCTCGTTTTCAGTGATTGACAACGATAACACAAGCTGCCATGGACTCATGAAATGTACTTCAAATGTAAATTTATAAATACTGGTATTACAATTATGGCTTCTTATGTTTATAAAATATGTGAATTCAGAGTTGCCTGGTGTTGTACGAATCATACCGAATAGCCTCCATAAGCTGGAAACAACTAGGAGTTGGAATTTTCTTGGCCTCTCTCCTCATTCCCCTTCCAATATTCTCCCCAAGAGCAAGATGGGGGATGGAGTTATCATAGGTGTTCTTGACACAGGTTTTTCTCTCTCTCCCTCTTCCCCCTCCACCCACCCCCTCCCCTCCACCGCGCGCCCCCCCCCCCCCCGCAAAACACCAACACACACACACACACACATCATACGTAATGGTCCCTTAACAGAAGCATTCAATGGATTAAGCAGGTATTTGGCCAGAGTCTGAGTCATTTAATGAAAAAGGCCTTGGGCCAGTTCCATTCCATTGGAAGGGCGCGTGTGAATCTGGGGAAAATTTCAATACAACAATACATTGCAACAAAAAGATAATTGGAGCCCGTTGGTTCATCAAGGGACTTCTTGCAGAGTATGGAGAGCCATTGGACACATCCACTGACTTCTTGTCTCCTAGAGATGCAAATGGACATGGTACTGCTATTTCAAGCATTGCAGCTGGTTCATTTGTTTACAATATTAGCTACAAGGGCCTTGGTGGTGGGACAGTTAGAGGGGGTGCCCCAAATGCCCGATTAGCCATGTACAAGGTTTGCTGGAATCTGTTTAATGGCTATTGCTCATCCGCTGACATACTTAAAGCTGTGGATGTAGCCATACATGAAGGGGTTCATGTGTTGTCATTATCATTAGGAGATTCAGTACCCATATCCACTATTGTTGATGATGCAATTGCTATTGGTTCCTACCATGCTGTAACTAGAGACATTATCGTTGTGTGTTCGGCTGGAAACGATGGACCTTTTGCTCAAACAGTTACAAATACTGCACCATGGGTCATAACTGTTGCTGCAAGCACCATGGATCGAGCATTTCCTACTTCTATTACTTTAGGAAATAATATAACTTTGCAGGCATGTTTGTGATTATAGCAAGTTTTGCTTTGGATTTTGAGCCATATTATCGGAAATCATCATCATCATCACCATGTGTCTTACTTATTTTTGCAGGGTCAATCATTGTTTACAGGTCCGCATACCGGATTTACACGCTTGATATACCCAAAATCCACAAAGATTGACTCCACATCCACAAGGTATCATATATCTAATATGTTACTTTGTATTCAAGGTGCTTATAAATATCCTATATTTTTTAATTACAAATTAATTTTCAATATCATTACTTGTTTGCAGTATATGTGATTCCCTCTCGTCCCTTAATAAAACTATGGTATCTGGAAATGTGGTTCTCTGCTTCACTAGTTACTCAGAAGAAGCTTTGAGAGAAGCAGGTTGTGTTGGCGTAATCATAGCAACGAACCCAAGTGATCTCATGCTTCCAAGTGATGACGATTTTCCGAATATTCAAGTTGACTATGAGGTTGGCACCCGCATACTGTCTTATATCCGGTCTACTAGGTACGTATAACATTCATCTATTATCGTCTTTGTTGATTCCGTAATTTGTATCATTAGGTTTGTGATTCTCAAGTTTTGTTTGGATTGCAGTGCTCCTCTTGTAAAGTTGAGCCGTACTAAAACAGTAGTGGGCAAGCTAATATCAGCCAAAGTGGCCGCTTTTTCATCGAGGGGGCCAAACTCCGCCACACCAGCAATTCTCAAGGTGTGATCACTACTTTAATTCATGAAGGGCCATTGTTCACACAAATCCTTGTCCCGTTACTTTGACGCCCATAAACCTGACCACAAACAAAACAAGTTTTCCAGTAAAGCGAGATTTTATCTTTTGATTAGAAAAAATCTTGAATAGGACTGTAACCTATTCATCCAAAGTTCTGAGCACAAGAAGTTATATGTTGAAACAAATCTTAATATCTTCCATTGCAAATTGTGGATTTCAATGCTAGTTTTGGAAAACTTTTGCTCTTTCCTTGTGGTATATTGAGAGACAAGTCCGTGCATTTCTGTGGTCCAAGTTTGTTTGAGCATAATTCACGGTTGATTGTGTCGAGAATTAATTCTCCTCGGGCTCTGTGTGTGTGTGTGTGTGTGAGTCTATTGTATTAATTATCGTGTAAATTAATCTGGATTATAATCATGTACACTAACATTATTAATAGACGCCGTAAGCTTACTTGTTATTGCAAGCTTTGTGACTAACATGGTTTTGGGAACTTTTTATATTTTTTATCTTGTAAACTTTTTGTGAGACAGCCAGATGTTGCTGCACCTGGTGTGAACATCTTAGCTGCATATTCTCCTCTTCGTTCCTATGCCGACGGCGGATATGCTGTGAAGTCAGGAACTTCATTGTCAACTCCTCATGTCTCAGGCATTGTAGCCCTTCTCAAAGTAATGCATCCTAGTTGGTCCCCAGCAGCCATTCGATCGGCACTTGTGACAACCGGTATTCACAATTCCCTAGGCCAATTTCATTTTAATGATACATGTGAAACATAACTATACTGTCGATTTTGATGCGTGCAGCGTCGAGGAATGGTCCATCTTGTAGTATTCTACCAATCTTTGCAGAGGGATCTCCTAGAAAGTTGGCTAATCCGTTTGATTACGGAGGCGGAATTGTGAACCCTAACAAAGCAGCATATCCTGGGTTAGTATACGATATGGGGAGGGAGGACTACATAAACTTCCTTTGTGCTGTTGGCTACAACACATCAGCTCTCTCTCAAATTGTAGGACAAGTCACAGCATGTTCCAGTACAAAGCCTTCAGTTCTTGATGTGAACCTGCCTTCCATCACCATTCCAAACCTGAGAGACAATATAAACCTAACCAGAAGCGTCACAAATGTTGGTCCAGTGGACTCAGTATATAAAGTTGACATAGACCCTCCACTTGGCGTTAACGTAGCTGTAAGACCTGACACTTTGGTCTTCAATTCTTCCGTTAAAACAATCACGTTTACAGTTGCAGTTTCTACCACTCATCACGTGAACACCGGATATTACTTCGGCAGTCTCACTTGGACAGATGGGAAACATGTGGTCACAAGTGCCCTATCAGTTAGAACGCAAATTGCGGACTATACAGATGGATACTGACGCTGCTGAATTTCATACCACGTAGAAGTCAGGAAAAATTCAATGTATTTCTTCTCCTCATCGGATGATAATTAAAGATGATGTTAGCAGAATGTATATTAATCCAATTAGTCTGAGATTTACGAAGCTTTCAGATTACCGAGTTGATTTGCCTGTATTGCACTTATCTTCCTGGGGTTAAGCTTAGCTTTAATTATTTTGTCGATTCAACTCTTTGTAAGTAAAAGTACTTCGATGTAGTACTTGTACGTCCAATTGTTCATGACTTTATTAAGTTGATGCATGTGCGATACAAACACCCCAAAATACTGAATTCAGGCTTGTGTTCCTTTACGAGCTACTCTTCGAGTTTTGAGGCAATTGCTAAAGGAAAGGCCATAATAAATGTATGGTATACCTAATTCTTTCCGATTGGCTGTTACAATTTTAATCATCTAAAGACAATTAGCATTTAAACTTGGAGACAAGATATTGGCACTCTAGCCACTTAGTACTATAATCTAGTGATATTCCTTTCACTTCTAAGTGAGAGGTAATAGGTTTGATTTTTGCCAAATACGAGTTTGTTGTGAGGTTAAACTCATCTCCTCCTTGTATATATCCTTAAAAAAAAAAAATAATAATAATAAAAAAAAATAAAAAAAAAAAAAAAACAGATATTGGCACTCGAAACATTTTCACCCACAGCGCAGCACTGAAATGGTCCAAACCAGAAACACTGAACAAATCCTGATCATGTTGCCCAAAACACCAAAGGAAGCGACACCAAAACCATAGTTTACGATGTTTATTGGGAACTATGTGGCACTTATTTTCTTCAAGTATTGTTTATTTAGCTAGAATAAGGGTGCAAAATTTTCGATCCTGCAATTAAAATTTCCGATCCGAACCCATAATTTCGCAAAGAGATTATCAGGTGCTAGATGAATACATTCTTTAGTGACCAATCTCTTGATCTGGAATAAATATGCACAAATTCGCAAATAAGGAAAACTCAGACATGACTATCACAACACAAAAAAAAAGCTATAAACCACCAGTGTAAATATACCACAAAGATGACATACATAACATACCCATCATCGTAGCCACAAAACCATTCGCAACAATTATAATAGGTGCACTAAATTTGTACATCAAATATGTGGCATAAATATAATATTTGTAATTTAATTCAAGTTGGAATTGGATTAATAATTATAATAAAAATTTATATGGTGCAGAATGTGTCACTTAGTACTACGATGTAGTGGTACTTTGTTCACTTATGAGTAAGAAGTCTTGGGTCGAATTGCGTGAGTGGTGAGTCCACAACCAATTTAATTCCCTCATCCCTTGGTGTAAATAGATTGTGTAAATCCTAGTTAGATTTGGGTTTTAGATTCTCATTATTCTAGTGATTCTTTCCTATTAGAATTGTAATTACTTGGAGGAAAAGTTACTCCTTTTGCTCTTGGTTTACTTTAAATTATTTTTTGCTACACACGTAAGAAACAAGATTTTGAGTAGGGGTGGGTTCTGTTTCATTCGGTTCAGTTTTTTTTTTTTTTTTGGTTTGGTTTTGTTCGGTTCGGTTTCGATACGGTTTTTGTTTTTTATTTTATTTTATAAAACTTGATCTTTATTAATATGGAGTATAGAAAAGAGGCCTGCATTGGTAGACTAACAATAAGAAAATGAGGAAAGTGGGAAATGGGAAGTGGGAAGGTAGTTGTATATATAAAAGATCATATAAACCAATCTTATTCTATCAAGAACCCTAATTGCAAAGAAAAATTATCACTGTATACATTCAAAAAGTAAGCAAATAGAGAAGCTCTTCCAAGTACCAAAGCCTTCCTAAACTTTCCTTTACAACCAATGAAATATACTCCCTAATTGAACCAAGTATACTCCTTGAAAATGCCCTAAGTTAGTTTCAAACTTGGCAACAAAGTTTCAGAAAAGAAACGTCATGTACATACATTCAAAAAGTGTAAAGGTATTCGGTTCGGTTGTGTGAAAGTGTTCAAGAATTATCACTTTAGGAAAAAAAAAAAAAATTTATGTATAAAATGTTGAGAATCAAGAAACCTAAGAGTAGCAAACTAAAAATTACCTTAAATAGAAATGATAATTGAATAATAAAGAATAAAGTATAAGCGTGTAGCAAGAGATTAATAAATTATAGTCTAAGAGCAGTTCCAGCGTGGGAACCCTCCCCCCAGGAATACACTATGTTATCCATCCAGTGAACAGTAACTGCCCTTAATGAACAGTAATCACCTTTTGCATCTCCACCGTTGCACTTCAATAACTCTGGCAATGGGCAATAAAATATTAGTATTTTTTATTTATAAAATAATACAAAATAATTATTTAAAAAAAAAAGTAAAAATTAAAGATTAAAGATGCAAATTCCATTGCAAAGTTAATGCAGCTTTTCACATTTTAACTAGTCAAATTTTGACTAAAGTTTTCATCTTTAAAACAGTTTGCTCAAGCAATTGACTAATCAAATCAAAACTCGCACAAATCCCAGAAGAAAATTTCAATGGTGTCGAGAATATCTCCGAAGAGCAAAGGCAAGACTCCGACGAAGAACTCCAAGGGCTCGAAGGAACGCTCGGTGGCTCAATCCTTCAAGCAGCGGAGCACGTAGGCCCTGAAGAAGGCCAAGGTCGTTACCCACTATGGCTTCATTCCCCTGGTCATCATCATTGGCATGAACTTGGAACCCAAGCCGCAACTTTTCCAACTTCTCAGCCCTGTCTGATCCGATCCAGGTCGGATCATCCAATTTCCGTGCTAGGTTTTCAGTATTGTTTCTAATGGGTTTTGTAATTGGATTTGAGGAATTTCATGTATGCTTTGCTCAAACTGACGAATGGGCACTTTTCACTGAGGATGTTGCCTTTTGTTGTTGGATTTATGGAGTGTATAAAATTTGGGGTTTCTGCTTCGTCACCGCTGTCGATCCACCATGAGACAACGACGTCGTTCAAGAACCATGAAGGTTGAGAGAGAGAAAGGGAAGTTCGGCCCGTCCATCACGTGGCTGACGTCGCCCAGACGTCAGCCTTGCGTCACATGCCCTTCGGGTTCTCGGGCTGGCAACTCCTGCCGGGCCTCTCCCTCGGGCCCGCTCGGGCTCCATCACCAGCACACGCTGGACCAAGTTGCTCGGGCTTTTGGCCCTGTTTGAGAGCCAGTCCACTGGGCTATTGCCCACGGTGGAACTGCTCTAAGAAGAACAAATTGCCACATATGTGGGCATTAACAAGAGCTTCAAATAAAAAACTTCATTTTAATCCTTGGCAAAGATGACTTTTAGACTAAAATCATGAGCAAGATCAAAATCTAATTTTCTTCCCTTGATACATTAATCACCTCATTTATTAATTATATTTTTGATGTTTTAATTATTTCTCTTTTTCTTCCTAATTTTAATGTATTAATTTTATTTCATTATAGTTATAATTTTCATTTCATTCACCGTAATATTATTTGTTGTAAACATTTAGATAAACTAATTTTTATTTTACAATATATTTTGATATACTTTGTCTTCTTCATTTGGGTACATTAAATTCATTATAATACATTTTGGTGCATACATTTAGGTACACACATTTGACACACCCTGATCCGGGACGTTTACTAAGACTCCGAATCGAGCTGTGTTGGCCGACACTTGGAAGGTAACGAAGTCATAAAGTGTAGTGATGTGGAAAATGTAAATAAATTTAAACCTAAAAGTGCCTAATCGAAGGAGTGCGTAGGTGAGCATGATTGAACCCTTTTCATACGTGATGGTAGAGCATAAGAACAATACAATAATTAGGGTGAGGGTTATACCACTAAAGATAACCATCTATTGAGATCTTGCCAAAATCCTTGTTTACACGTAAGCACAGCTACTAAACCTAGAGGATGATAAAGTCATAAGGTGTAGTGTAGTGGAAGAGAATGTGACTACTACTTTTAGGAGTTCTGCTACTCCCAGGATATGACAACTCATACCCACAAGCCTATACTGACCCAAATGATGAGTACAACATCGAAAGGAAATCTGGGAATTAACGTTGGTTGGAAAGTACCAAGGCTGGAGAAAGAACTTGCTAATAATTTACTTTGGAAATGAACTTAAACGAAAGTCAAAGTTCTTGCCTCTAGGGGCATTTTTGTAAATTCACACTTTTAAAATTAATAAAAACTTAAAATTGGGGACGGGTTGTCACACATTTCAATACATACATTTTAATACAAACATTTAGGTACATTAATTCAATATAATATATTTTGGTACATTAGTTTAATATAATACATTTGGGTATATACATTTCGGTACACACATTTAGGTACATTAGTTTAATATAATACATTTGGGTATATAAATTTTGGTACTAAAATTTAAATACATTAATTCAATATAATACATTTCAGTACTAACATTTAGGTACATTAATTGAGTTTTCCAAGTTTGAAGAATGTTAAATAAAATTAATAAATTTTAAAAAAACTATTGCTTGGTCAAAATATATATTAAAATGTGTATATTAATAAATTTAAATATTTAAAGGGAGACATTGAATAAAATACACATTAATTATTTTGACTTAAGGATACATCAAGGGACTATAATCAATATGTAATCTAACATGAAGTTTATTTTAAATTTCAATATTCTTCAATGATTAAAGTTAGAAAATCCCTTAATAAATTATAGCCAAAGAAGATGAGCGATTTTATTTCATTTATTTTTTTATCGCCACGACACCACCCATTGTATGATCCTTAAGATGAGATCATGAGATGACCTGTACTTATGTAATTAACATTCACAAAAACAAGTGCCACTTTTACAGTTGATATTTTTGCAGCCACGAGGACAAAACTCTGTCGCATCTACTGCTTCAACTTGAAACTCTTTTTCTTTACTCCCACAATTTACAGCGGATGTGCATACACCATGTACACATTTGCCAGTCGGACCGCAGTCTTCGTTCCCCACACACAGAAAATGGGATCCTCCATAAACCTTCAACAGTGAACCTACAAAATGCAACAGGTTAATATATATACACACACACACACACACACACACACACATACACACACTATTCCATTGGCCTGCACCTCCTGTACCAAAACTATAAACCAGGCTCACATATATTTGAACGGTTTATGCTTCAAAACATCAATCACAAATTATTTATAAAAAATTAGACAAACCTAAAACTGGACATCCAATTATACTGAAAAAACAAACATAGTGTTTCTTGAAAACACTAAAATAACTATAATTTCATCCAATGATCATATATATATGACTTCTCACTTGAGTGATTTTTTCCTTTTTACATATAATCTTTTAAAGAAGACTTAAAAGAGAAATGATATGAAATTTTAAAATACAAAGCCAAGTGAGCCCTATGTGTGAGAGAGAGAGAGAGAGAGAGAGAGAGAGAGAGAGGGAGAGAGAGAGAGAGAGAGAGGGTAACAACTTGTAGTGACAAAGAGGAGCAGCAAAAGTGTCAATTTGATAGTCGTCATATTAGGTTATGTGATCAATCAAAAGTTACGAGAGAAGATTTTGCTTGTTGTATGTAAGTTTGAATTTGTGAGAATCAATATATAGGGACATAGAATTGAGCTAATTTAGCAAGAATTATATTCCTAGAACGAGAGTTGGTAACATGGGATTTTGTAGATTTGTTTGAAAGGTTTTTCCTATTTAGAAGATATTTTCATTCCATGATAAGTTTTTTTATTTTCTACATTGACATTTTTGCTATATATTTTGAAAAGGTCTATACTGAATTACTTAAGAAAATCTCAACATTCTTAAATTCAACGAAAGTTTTAGAAAGTTAGGAAACTACAAAAATACTTTTAAACCTAATTTCAAATATTGGAGCTCTATCTATATAGATACCCATTTATTTGAAAAGGAAAATAGGTTCATTTCAATAAATATGGCAAAAAATATTAACGTAATAAATAAAAACCTCATCATAGAATGAAATTATCTTGTAAATAGGAAAAACCTAATTTCAAAGTGATACAAAATCTCGTGTGAGCAATTTTCTTCTAGGAACGAAAATCTTTCAAAATTTGCTAAATTCTATGTCCCTACATATTGATTCCCACAAACATCAACTTAGACCATCTTCAAATGAAATATCAAATTATAAGAGTCAAATTACAATTGATGACTGATATGTCAATCTGAAGCCTTATGCCAAATTTTGTATTTCTCTAACCGAATTGTCAAATGTTATTTTATTATTTAAATAAAGCTTTAAATGATTGTAATTATTATAAAAATGTTGAAACAAAATTTTATTAGTTGAAATATTAGTGGAATAAGGGACCCACTACTAAAATAAATTAAAAATAAATTTGACGTTGATGTTAAATTTGACATCAAATCATTAAGCCTTCAAACAAATAACACTTCGGTTAGAGAGACTTTTGATGTCAAATATGCACAATAACATTCCACCTAAGATTTTGACATCTCCCTTAGAAATGCTCTTACACACCAAAAACAAAAATCTTCCCTCATAGGTTTTGACTGATTACATAACCTAAAATGACATCGATCAGGATGACATTTGTGCTGCTCTTCTTTGTCATTACATGTTGTTAACCACCCCCCCCCCCCCTCCCCACCCCTTCTCGTCGTCCTCCTCCTCCTCTCTCTCTCACTCTCTCTCATATATGTGTGTGTATGAACTAACTTCTTTTTTTTTTTTTCATGTTTGCTACATATATAGAAGGGGCTAATGAAACAGTATTGGCCTGAAGGTGCCTGGAGAATTTTTTTTATTCCATGTTTTTTCGGACAAAGAGTGCAATCCGTAGGGTTCAGTGCAGGATTGCAAATGCGTTGGTGGGAAATGCGCATGCCCTCTTTTGGATCATAAACAAAAAGAGTTCCATGTTGAGCAGTAGTTGATCAAACTGCTCAAAGAAGTGATGGCTGGGAGCCGAATTCTGACTTTTGATGAGACGAAAAAGGGACGTGGCCGAGTTACCAAAAAGTTGAGAAGGTCATCCTCACTCATGCTTGTTCATTTGATTGGATATGGCAACTGGAAGTACAGATGGTGATGAAGCTGCTCCGCATCCATGCTGCCCACATTTACATGATGAATGTGTTATCTTAATTTAATTTGCTCTTCAGATCTCAGAGGTTCAGGGATAAGGTTGTTTGCAGTTTTCTCCATGTTCCGTTGCTTGTCATCGTTTGACCTAACTTCTGTTTGTTTTGTTGTAGATGTGAAGGAGATAAAATGAGGACTATGTCCATATATAAGATCGGACGAACTGAATAGGCAAAAAATATAATTATAAGTTACCTTCCGACTACAGTGGCAAGCAAGTCATGGTGTGAATCCACGATCACTTCGGGATGTCATGCTCCGTCTCTCCCAGATAAACAGTGTGTACCTGTTAAATGAAAGAGATAAGTTAGAGAACTGAATTCCGGCTTCTGAAAACAAAGAAGAGGTGTTTGAGATATGTTGATGCATATGTGGCTATTTTCTGTTTTAATTTGCCCTGGTATTAAGACAACAGAGAAGGCATACGACTAGAACAAGTAGGGGACTCGTGCTGCTCACATTTCCTCTTCGTGAAGTCAACATCCTTTGTGTGATGGCAGAATCGGAGATTTCTAACAAAGCCATCTCTCCGCCCATCGGAATAGGAAAGCGAAGGCCTCCTCCCCGGCTCTCTTCCGAAGTTGTAAATAATCTACTGACCAAACGCTGTAGAGGCCGAACGGCTCTACATTCAGGCAGATGAAAAGGAGGAAGAGGTTGATGAAACCGGTGGAGTGAGGCCGTCAAAGCTTTAAAGACACATTAAATTTGGACTGAACCCTAATTTTTCTCATGCTTTGATGTTGAGAGAGATTTGGAGAGAAGTGGTTTGCTATTGCTCTCTGAAATCAATTGCTTTTCAGCGAACTCTACTTTCTAAAAAGAACAAATGCAAATGTCAGAAGAAACGTATAAGAGAGAGTAAGAGCAACTCCAGCGTTGGAGCCCTCCCCCCTGGCAATACACTATTCAATCCACCTAATGAACAGTAATTGCCCTTAATGAACAGTAAGTAGCCCTGGCAATAGATTTTGCATCTCCACCGTTACACTTCTATAGCCCTGGCAATAGGCAATAAAATATTAGTATTTTTTTTATTTATAAAATTAATACAAAATAATTTTAAATGTAATATCGGATAAGATTTTTAATCGTTGTCAATGCGCCACGTGTCATTATCCTAAGTATTATTAAATAATACAAAATAAATAATTATAATATGGATTTCTGATAAGATTATTAACCAATCACGTCGCGCCACGTGTCATAATCGGTTCACAATCTTTGAGGATAGATTTCCATCAGATTTTAAACGAATGACGGCATGCCACGTGTCATAATCTGTTAACAATCTTGGATGATAGATTTCCATCAGATTTTTAACGAATGACGGCATGCCACGTGGCATTATGCAGAACCTAATCCTTTCTGAATCCTCTATATAATCCACCATCCATCTTCACAAATCTCACACCAAAATTCTCAAGATCTCTATCATTATTCATAATTTCTGCTTCCTTATTCACAAAAATCAGTTTCAATATTCATAGTTTCTGTTTCTTTCTTTCAATGTCTTCTTCTTCTTCCTCAAGGATGATGTGGGAATTGAATCAGGAAGAGGAAGACTTGTTTAACCAATCAGAATCAATGTTCAATCAGCAGGGGGTAAGAAATGAGAGGGAAGAAAATGATGAGCGTCAAATGAGAGATGACGACGTAAGAAGGGGCAGAGCCTCACATTCCCGTCGAGTCATCCAAGCTGCGGCTCAGATCTGCAGGCCCAGGCGTTCCGGAAACCTTGATAGAAGCAGGCAACGACGAGGTATGGAACTCTTGGATGATTATTTTGTTCCTAATAGTGCATTCCCTGATACGTACTTTAGACGTCGTTTTAGAATGGAACGACATTTGTTCAACAAAATCATGATTGCTGTTTGCAACCATGATTCTTATTTTGTGCAAAAAAAAGATGCTTTTGGTGCTATGGGTCTACTGCCGGAGCAAAAAATTACTGCTGCCTTGCGGATGCTTGCATATGGAGCATCTGCAGACCAAGTGGATGAGATAACAAGGATGGGGCAATCAACCATTCTTGAGTCCCTGATGAGGTTTTGCGGAGCAATCGAATCTATCTACACCGCTGAGTACCTCCGCAAACCCACACACATGGACTTGGAGCGGCTATTGAAGAAGGCGGAGATGCGTGGCTTTCCTGGGATGATTGGAAGCATTGATTGTATGCACTGGACGTGGAAAAACTGTCCAAGTGCATGGCAAGGCGCTTACGGGGACAGAAAAGGGGCAAAAAGTATCATTCTGGAGGCGGTGGCATCTTTTGATACATGGATTTGGCATGCCTTTTTCGGGGTCCCGGGAGCTCAAAATGACATCAACGTCCTTGCCCAATCCCCAGTGTTCAACGATGTCCTGCAAGGAAAGGCACCAAAAGTTACATATGAGGTCAACGGACGTATATACGACAGGCCATACTACCTAGCTGACGGCATCTACCCGCGCTGGTCAACATTTGTCAAAACAGTGCCACGTCCGCGGAGTGCGAAGGAAAAACACTTTGCAAGCTGTCAAGAGGGGTGCAGGAAGGATGTGGAGCGTTGTTTTGGTATCCTCCAAGCTCGCTGGGCGATCGTCAGGGGTGCGGCCAGATTGTTTGATGTAGAGTCGCTTCGATCCATCATGATGACGTGCATCATTCTTCACAACATGATTGTGGAAGATGAGTACGATTATGAAGCTGTTGATGAATATGAGCCAGACTCGATGAACAATTCAAGAACACGTATATATTGTGCTCATGACGCCACCGATGACCCCGTGCAACATGAGCCATTACAAAGGGATGGACATTACAATGAAAGGCTCATTCAACGATATACTGCATTTCAAATGCCAGACATGCACAATGCCCGACAAATTGACTTGATAGAGCACCAGTGGGCATTGAAACAAGCTGAGGATAATTAAGTTCATTTTAGTGTGTTATTTTGAATTTGGTATGTTTATGTTATTTTATTTGGTGTGTTTTATTATTTGGTATGTTTATGTAATTTTTTTATGTTTATGTTTATGTAATTCTTAGTATATGTTTATGTTTATGTTTATGTAATTTTTTTATGTTTATGTTTATGTAATTTTTTTATGTTTATGTTTATGTAATTCTTAGTATGTTTATGTTTATGTTTATGTAATTTTTTTATGTTTATGTTTATGTAATTCTTAGTATATGTAATGTATGTAAAGGACTTTTAATTAGAACGATGAACTTTTAATGGACTTTTAACAACATAAATAACTTACCAAATTAATTCTTAATATAAATAACTTACCAAATTAATTTGAATAAATATTCATGAACATGGAAACAACATAAATAATACAAACAATAAATAATAAATTACAACCCAAAGTGATTGGAAAATTATGGGCTCCGATTACAAAAAGTACTCTATTCATCATCACTTAACCAATTTGTGCTGCTAGGATGATCTTCTCTTGCGGTGCTAGAACCACCTTGGCTTGCTATTGTTTCTCTTGCACGCCTCCTTCGCACCACGTCCGCTTTCTCTGACTTCCAAAAAAATTTAGAATTTGGAGACTTCCCTTCTAAAGACATGTTCATAATCTCACGATCTTGTTGAGCTCGTCTTTCTTCTCTAACATGTTCCCTTTCTTGCCTAAGTAGCTCTCTTTCTCTCTCATTAGCATAAAATTCTCTCTCAACAGCTGCTGCTTTTGATGCCTTATCAGCCTTATCAGCCTCATCTTTCGCCAGTTCCCTCGCCAAAGTCAATTCACCTTGGCGAGTAAGTTCTTCCATGAACTTTGCATAATCGTTCTTGGAAGCACTCCCTTTTCTCTTTGTAGCCTTCTTACCTTGAGGCCTAATTGGAAAACGGGTCGAACCCGACGCTTGTTCAGGGAGGGGCGTTTCGGGCACTTCTTCTGCATCATCTTCATGAACATGATCGGGTGTAGAGTGTAGAGGGGTGCTGTTCATGTGCACTTCTGGACCAACTGGCACAACTCTAAATTTAGGACAATCTTTGACAATATTCCAACATTCCCACCGGTTGAATGATTTATTTTTGCTTTTGGTTTTGGCAGCATACCAAGCTTGTGCTTGAAGTTCCTACACAATAAAAATAAGTAACAAATAAATAATACAAATAAATAATTATAATGAAAATAAGTAACTAGCAAATATATACATATATATATATATAAGTAACAAAGATAATGAAAATAAGTAAGAAGGCTTCAAGTTTAGTAAATAATGAAAATAATTAACAAATATATATATATATATGTATACATTAATTTTAATGAAAATAAGTAACAAATAAATAATACAAACAACATAATTATAATGTAACAAATAAATGTAACAAATAAGTAACAATAACATAATTATAATGTAACAAACAACATAATTATAATGTAACAAATAAGTAACAATAAATAATAAATTTTGTACGTAACAAATAAAGAATACAAACAATAAATAATAATATCTTGTTACCATATCCGAGTAATTTTCCCCACTTCGAATATTATTACTAGCTTGTGCCAAAGCGTCTCTCCACGTACTAAACGATTGACTAAGTAATTTCCAACGACTGGACATCGATTCTTTGGTTCTTTTCCCACCAATTTTCTCAAGATAATTGGTATGAATAAGACTCCACATTTCTCGCAACTGCATCTCATTACCCGTAAGCGAACTATGAGTAACTTCAACCCAGCTAGTACACAACGCAACATCTTCAATAAGTGACCAATTCGTACCTGCACCAGTGGTCATTTTGTTGAAAAAAAATGGATTCAAACTTTGAGACAAAGAAAGGAATGTGATTGAAAGTAGTTGAGAAAATATGAAATTGTTGTGAAGGTAGATGATAATGAGAAGGTATTTATAGAAAAGTAAAAACAATTTTTTTTACAATTTTTTTCAGATTTTTCAGATATTTTTTTGAATTTTTTTGAATTTTTTACACTTTTTTTTGAATTTTTATTCAATTAATTAATCTCTGCCGTTGGATATAAAAAAATTTGAATTCCAACGTTCCAGATTGTGCCACGTGTCACAACGGTAACTTTTCAGATTTTTTAAACTATTTTTTCATTTATTTTTTAATTTATAAAGCATTTTAATATCCACCATTGATCTCAGATCGAACGGTGGATATTAAATCTGACAGTTTTTTATTTTTTTACCGTTGAGATCTAACGGTCCACATTAAGTGACCGTTAGGATCTAACGTACCGTGGGAAGCCACGTGGCTTCCCAACGGTAACAGACAAAACTTTTTTTTTTTCTGATTAACGTGTCAGGACGCGCCCCCACGCGCGGGTGGGGTGCACGCGCCTGACACAAAAAAAATTAAATAATACGCTGACGCCACCCTGGCGTCAGCATGGCGTCACTCCCACCCCGGGCTCAAGGCCTGTCAATTCCTCACGGGCCTGGCCCTCAGGCCTCCCCCGTCCCCCGGTCTGCGTCACGCTGGACGCCTTCCACCGGCCCTCGGGCCTTTGTTCTGGAGCCGGTCCCCCGAGCAATATGCTACGGTGGGAGTGCTCTAATAGCTTGCATGTGATGTTCTTAAAATGTCAGAAGAAACGTATAAGAAAGTAATAGCTTGCATGTAATGTCAGAAGAAACGTATAAGTAATAGCTTGCATGTGATGTTCTGAAAGTTTGCTAAAAGAATTGAAAGGACAAAAGAGTAGTGGTACTGAGAACTTAAAGAGGAGAAATTTTTCCAGATGACGGTTACAGCCGCTGAGCTGGAGTTCCTTTCCAATGAAATGATGTCA